CTGCAAACTTTAGTGTGATATTGCCTTTAACAATTTGTATGAGAACACTTTGTGTGCTCTTGTTCTGCTATGTGTGTATTTGTGTGTCTGTGTTGTCTCTTCCCATTTTTAAAGCTATTTAAGTAAAAAAATATTAGGTAGGACACTGGTAAAGAGATGAAGATATGTCCCTAATTTTAATGTAGAAAGGGAAATCTAACCCAGAGAGGGACCTCAGAATTTCAATTGTTTTAAATGCCCATTCTGGAAAAGCTAATACATTTTAAGAGTATCTTTTCCCTGGCAGGAAGTGCAGCAACTTAAATCAGTCTCTTATGGTCCCATTGGTTTAAGCATCTGTATCTTGTGGATGTTAGCAAAGCCAAACTGTTCTGCTGAATGCTTATAATCTACCAGACCACTCCAACATAGTCATGGTCCATTGCTTTAATCTAACATGTCACCAATTTCACCAGCTGGCAAACCCAGCAACAGTGGTTTTGTCTGCTTTATAGATAACAAGCATCTTAATAGGCCACAATTAAATATTCATTTAGGAACTGATGGAAATCAAGTCACTGGGGACTCTGCCTTCGAAAAAGCTCTATTCCACCAATAATTGCCTCACCCATGTAAAAAGTTTGTGTCTCCAAATTAAGGCTCTAATCCTGGTTGCCTCAACAGCTGGTAATTTCTGCCTCTATATTTCTCTCTCCCTCCCTGTCCCTGCCCAAGGTTATTCACAGTAGGAAATGAAAAGGAGAACACCAGAAGTTCACTCTGTCCAGCCATAAAGGAAAACACTGATTGACAGCCAAAGAGGGGAAGAAAAACACAAATCAAAAAAGGACTGAAGCAAGAGGGCACTTGGGGGCATGAGGGGGCATTTTCTTACAATGAATTTCCTTTACCCCAGCTGTAGTAATAAAATTCCCAATGCACTATCACTTCATCTCCAGTTCATCAAATTCTTCTCTGATGGGCAGTTAGTTGCAAAGGATCTCTTTCATGGCACGAGGTGGGTTAGAAAGAGCTTCTTTGTCTTCAGAAAGAAACCATCTCTACTTTTGAACTACTTCCTTCAACACTGATAAAAAAGGCCTTTCATGCTCCTTTCAGTGCATCCATTTTAAGCTGGAGTCAGTCAGCTTTTCAAAGTTAGCACAACTTGATCAAAACTGAGTTTGCCTTGGAAACTGCACATTAACTACAATGTGATGTTCGATTAAGGAAGCAGAGAAGTACAATGAGAAAAGTTCCCTGACTCTTTAAATATCTCCTGTAGGAAGCATTCAGGCACTACCTCATCCTTTCTGCAACTCAAACAGGAGGCAAAAACAATAGAGTGTAGCTCTTATTTAGTAACCTGGGAGGGATATGCCAACTCAGATGCTCTTCTACAAGAAGTCTGACTGATTTTCTGAGTTCTTCATGGGAGTATAATTAGTGCTGGAAGCTGCTGGAGGAAACTAAGGATGCAAGAATTCTGCTTATCCTGCACCTCTGTGCTAAAAACACATGTGTTTGTCCCTGTAGCACTTTTACCTTCCAGACTGACTAAAGGCTTTGTGGCACAAAATACACCAGCCAAAGGACTAAGAAATTATTTTGGCTATTGTATGTGAGCAGGTGTTGGCTTGGCAATTCAGCTTAGTAAGGTAAAGGTATATGGATGCAAATATGGATGATCTGGGGAGAAGCAGCCCAACTCATGGAAAATAATAATTTTGGGTGACCAAATTATTTACATATAGATCACCAAACAGTAAATAAGTTTTACTGTTACAGGAGGATGGAAAGGCAGTGACTGAATTATTTTGGCTATAAGTAGCCTGAATTCTCTGACAACATTTTAAAATATTTCAGTCACTGAGACATCTGTAAAGCCACAATTATCATGAGAGAAAATGCAAGTTCATAACATGTTTCTGTTATTACATTCTGGAACTGATGCCCTGAAACATTTTATCCCATTGCACTGAATAACTAGCAAAATTTATCCTGGTCTCTAGCTTTGTCAGAGTATTTTACTGTAGACACTGAAAAAATACTAGAGATAGAACAGAGATTCTGACTTGTAGCAACACAAGTGACTGCAATCCTGTGTTGCTGTATCAAATTATAATAGCATGGGTATTTCAACTTACAAATCAATTTCTTGATAATCCTCCAGAGAATCTGTAGCAAAATTAAGTCCCATAAGTTCTCTTAGAAGGGTTGGTAATATTGCTGCTGCAGGAGTTCATGTGTTTCAGACCTTAGTGACTCTTTTTAGCCCTGCTGCCCATGATGTGCTTTTTAAGACAAATATTCCACATAAGGAGCTAAACCAATTTCCTGTACTTTAGAGGCAATTTACTAAACCTTTCTTTAAGAACGGTTAGAGCATATTTTTAGTGATAAGGAAATCTCTTCAGTGCCCAAGCTATAATTTTATTGAATATTCCACTGTAGGTTATACATATTTACGAGAATGAAAATAATCATGTAATTAAGCTCGCCACCTAAATTATCATGCTTTTTTTTTTTTATTTATGTGGCCAATTCCTCCAGTGGAAAGTGATTCTAAAATCACAGTCTATAGAGAAATGCTGAAATCACAATTTCTGCACTACTAGATCTAAAATGCTCTATCTCAGAAATGCTTTAATGTTCTTCAACCCAACCAAAGGTTTCCAAAGGAGAGAGGAGCACTGCGGCTTAAGGTAACTGCAGTGGTCCAGGAATGGCCAGTCTGACAGCTGGAGTGAGCAGAGATACCTGCTTCAGTTCCCTTTCTTTGGGAAAATTGTCCTAGAAGCTAAAATATGCACAAGAAATCCGCTTCTCCACAGGGAGGCCCTGGTGTCATCTCTGTTTCAGTGAAAAAATGAAGATATTAGAGATGTATCTGTGCTGCAAATGTGAGGCAGTTCCCCAGGAGACTCCCTATGGCAAACTGCTTTTCCATCCTCCTGGCTCCTTTTGGGTGCCACAGGAAAAGGAAGTATTAAAGCTGTTAGAGAGTGCCAAAGGAGGGCTACGAAGATGATGGAGGATCTGGAGGGGAAGCAGCTGAGGGCACTGGAGAGGAGGAGGGTGAGGGCAGAGCTCACCCCGGGCTGCAGCTTCTTGCTTTGTGTGACCAGCGACAGCACCCGAGGGAACCTGGAGTCCGGGGAGGCTGAGGATGGATATTGAGGAAAGGCTCCTCACCCAGAGGGAGGTGAGCACTGGAACAGGCTGGCCCGGGCACTGACAGAGCCGAAGGTGTGTTCGGACACCGCTGTCGGGCATAGGGTGGGATTTGGGGTGTTCCTGTGCAGAACTCCGTGGCCCCGCGCGTCCCTCCGGGCTGCGGTTCTGCCGGGCGCCGAGCCGTGCCGGGACTCGGGGATGCGCTGGCGGCGAGTGCCATCTCGTGGGGACAGAGCCACGGAGCGGGGACACGGCAGCCGAGACAGCCCCGGGGCCAGCGAGCTGCCACCGCAGCGCCAAACGCCGAATTCCCCATGCCAGAGGCTGAGCATCCTTCCCCCACTCCGGCAGCTGTGAGAGCGCAGGGATTCAACCAGACAAGGAACGGCCCACTCGGAGTTCAGGCAGGTGAAGGTGTTGTGTGTCTTTTAGATGAAGGTACATCATCTCCCAGGAAATGTGGGTGCGTTGTATCAGCTGTGCCTTGGAGGGGAAGTAGCTTCTATCAAGGTCTCAGCTTGTATCAAGGTCTCGTGCTAGCACGCCAAAACAGTCCCTAATCTGGAGTGTAAAATCTCTATCCTGCAAAAAAAGTGCATCCATATTTTAGATTTACACAGAGTTAGAGAAGTAAATTCTAAATCTTTGCATGACTGGAGCCAAGGAAGACAATCTGCTATTATTTTTCTTTTCTACTGGCTGTCACACTTCAGTGGCTTCAGCAAGTAAAGGTGAGAGAAATCATTTAGTGGCACATTTCAAGTACAGTTTGCTCATTTTTGCTCCCAGCTGCAATTGTCTGTGCTCTGCGGTTTGCAAAACCCTCCATGCACAGTGCCCAAGGAATTCTTAGAGCAATTTCCTCATGTAAGATAGGCCAACATGAATAAGCAGAGCTGAGTAAATCACAGCACAGAAAAGTTAAGTGACATTCCAAAAATCATGAAATGAGTAATTGGAACAGCTGACAGAAAGCAGGTCACTGTCATAATCATGCAATGTGTTCCTGTCTACTCTCCATAACATCTCAAACAAATTCTGCCATCACAGATATCAGAAAAACCTCATGGATGTAAGTGGGGACAGAATTTGGCCAGCTCACACTCTATAGTATTTGAAGATCTCATTTCATAGACTATTTAGCTGCAATTATCCTTCAGTGCTGAGCCAAATGCACATCTGATAAAAGCCACTCTGGGTAACATCCATAAACATGACAGAAAGGGATCAACTTTAACATCTTTTTAATAGATGCAGGTCATCTTCCAGCAACACTCATACCAGGGTACCAGTTTCAGAGGCCTGTTCTTTCTTTCAGGCTCTTCCCCACTTTGGTTTCAATAAGTTGAGGTACTCTTCTCTCTGCAGAAGTTTTTTCAAGCCCTCAAACACTCAGTAAACCACATCTCTGTTGTGGCTCTCCTGCTGCAACTCACATCCCCATTAAACATCCACTCCAACTCCAACTCCTTCACCTCCCAACTCCTCAGCCTTCATCTCCTCTCTTACTGTCACTCTTGGCCAGCCTGAGCTCCTTAGTCAGCTGCTTCAGCCCAGTTAGAAATAAGAAGCATTGGTCTGGCTTCTGGTAAGGCTAAATTTGGCTTTGTATCCCTTAGCCAGCCACATTCTGAGCCCTCCTGCTTCCCACATGGTTCTGGGGAAATCCCAAAACCCTGCTTTTAGCCTAAACCTCCAAGGAGGTGTATTTCATCCCTGTTCTAAGGGTTTTGTTTTATTTTGCCGGCCTTGGGGGGGGGTCCATTTTCCTGGCTAAACCTGTCAATCTCATCACTATCTACTTTGAGTACTACCCAAGAGCACCAGGAGACAATGGAGACAGCTTGCAAGCCTGCACCATTTTTTATTGAAACCATTTTAATTCCTCCTTCCCCTCATCCTTTTGAAAGGCAATGGTCCCATGCCACTGCTGCTTTAGGGTGTTTGAGGTTTCCTCTGAAAGGCTGTTGTACTGAACAAGCCCACTATGTTCTTTCTATAGGTGCTCTACTGTTTTCCCAGCAGACAGACATTCACTGGAGCAATTCTTCCATTCACACCAGCTCTGAGCCAGTTTGCCATTCTCTGTGGGGAAAATAAGACATTGCAAAATCAGGACAGCATGTGAGAAACGAGACTTAAGAACCCCATCCTCCTTACAGCTTCTTCCCAATAGGGCCATTTATCCTGGGAACGCACCAAACGTAATGGAGAAATATAATGCTTTCTAATGCATGACTGGAATAAAGCAGCATGACACAGTTAGCTGGGCGTTGCATCCTGATCAGTCAGCAGCAAAGACATCATGCTTCACTTAGCCCCAAAGCACCCACTGTGTGACAAGTATGAAAAGATGTGTTGGAGGGAGAGGAAGAGAATGCTGCTTTGGGTCCAAAAGACCCTTTTGCCCCTGCTGCACTCACAAAAGGGGTCCTGAATAGGAACCCAAATGAGGCCAGGGAATATTCATACGATCTTAATTTACCATGACTGCTGCCTACCAGCTCCAGATAAGTTGGATTAATAAACTGCCTTTCACTTGTGACACCTCGTCATGAATTTTGCATTAGGCTCAATTCAGTAAAGTTCACAACTGACATGCTTGCTTTTATGACAATCCTTTTCAATTGTTTTTTGCACTGGGATGTCATAAAGATGTTTGAGCTATTTTTTTTTTTCTGGTGTGGAACTGTCTTTTATCCTGAAAAAGAGCTTTTATAACCCACTCATGACGATAGCACTCTTGAATTAAGCTGGAAGGCAAAGCCCCTAGTCCATTTATACTATTAACAAGACAGAATTTTTCAGTGTCAATGAAAGCAGTGATGTGCTTGCTTCAGAGCTGGGCTTGTCACAGCAAAAAATTTCAATGCAATGGGGGTGGGGATGATTAAAACACAAAGAGCACACAATGTGTGATAAGATCAGCAGAACCTTTTGGAATTAATGCAAGGCGAGTGGATCATGCCCACTAGTTAGAGCTTACATGGTACTTGCTAAATTTATCAGACCATGAATCTCTTCTTCCTTAATTGATAAGCAGGTGGCATGGCTGATCTGCATCCAGATTTGAGGAGGAGAGATAAAAGTGGATGGATGGATGGATGGATGGATGGATGGATGGATGGATGGATGGATGGATGGACAAATGCATAAATAGATGATATATTTATGAGATGTTTTTTTCTCTTAATGATACACCCTAGTTTGATGTTGCCTCTCTCAGCAGCAGCTACTCAAGTCAGGGATCCTTCAAAAGATGGACCTTTCTTGGAGCTAGATGAAAATGAGGGGTATAGGTTTGGGGAACTATTTGGGAGAGAATTTGACTGACAAAATAACAGAAATTAAAGTTGGCTGGATAATTTCATTCCTGACCTGAGGTGCCGACTCAGAGCCATTATACAGAACTCAGCCCTGCAAAACCTTACAGAACCCAGCAAAAGTCAGTTCCTGAGCAGTTTCATCTGTGAAACAGGGAAAATATTACCATAATACTTTTTCCTCTTATGCTTTGTATTTTGGGCCCTTTTATTTAACATGTCTTTCAGAGACATGCACAGAGTTCTGATCTCACTTGGGGCATCACACATACTCTAAAACATCTGGGTGGATTCCAAAGTCAGAGTAGGCTTATGTATGCAATGACCAATTATCCACCTGCTCTCTGTAGAGGAGAGATCCCCCATTTACTCCTGGGCTGCCTGGAAGGGAACCTGGTGCTGTACTTCAATCCCAAATGCACTCTAGTTCCTTTTTCCTTTTTTTTTTTTTTTTTTTTTTTTTTTTTTTTTCCTCTGAGTATGAGTGGAGGCAGATTTAAGGCTTGCTGTGTGGAAGGGAAATAACATTTCTAGACAACAGGTTCTAAGTGGCTATGCAGATACTTCTTCCATGAAATTCTCTAAGATAGGAATCTTAATCTTAAAATTATTGAAATATGAGATGACCCTGAAACATCTCAGCTTAGATACAAGGAAGGCAACCTGGAAAGAGTCTGGTTTCATCCATGTGTACTTTGGATGACTGCTCCTCTGTTTCATAGCTCAATTTGATAAACCACAGATTGGTTCAGGGGCTCATCCCAAATAAGCCATATATTTCCTCAAAATTGGCCTGTAAAAGTGATTCTTCAGTTACATCAAATGTTTTGCAATTACTTTTATTCCAGTGCTGAGAAAGCCAGGTGTCTTAACTGTTGCTGCGTTTAGAGAGGAGGAAAAGCAACACATATAAAAATGGCTTAAACAAGTTCTTTGCATAACCAAGGCAGGACTTCAGGGATATCTATACAGATTAGTCTGACTATGCTCCCTTGCAAAGGGTCAAGCCTCCCATTTTTCACCAGGGAGAGAGCTCTAGTTTCTGACTTCTCAGTGTTCAGCTGTAATACCATGATTTTCCTTGTTCAGAGCTGATTCTAGGCTGCTTGGGCTGTGAATTAGGGAACATTTCAAGGGGAAGACAAGATTATTTGATCTACTAAAGATCTGAGGTCTCTCACAGGGCTCAGAGGAGAGGATTGATGCAGTCAGGAATTATCAACCATAGGAAGGAAAAGGACCCAGGAACACAGGAGACTTTCCCAGGTTCTGTTAACTTTAAAAAAACACAATTCTGCAAATTCGTGTCTCTTCAAATCACCATGCACCTTTCTGCTACAAGCAGCTCCTTCCCTCCCTCCCCTAGAAACACCATCCTCTGCTTGATGTGCTGTTTCCATAGCAACATTTAATTAATATAAACCCCCTGGCTACTGCACAGCACAGGTAGTATCTATAAGCAGCATTAAACATGAAATAAAAGCAGGAAGTTCAGCCAGCAAAAGGCCCAGCTCCAATCTCAAGTGTGTTTATAGAACAGTGGAGTGGAGCTGAGAAGTGCACTGAGAAGGGGAAGAGTTGATCTTGCTTTTAATTACATGAGATGAACAAAGCAGTTAATTAATATGGAGGAAAATCTGGAGGTGCCTGAGCTTCCCACCCTCTGATCAGCACAGATCACACATGTGGGATGCAGCAGCTCCATGCTCCATGCAGCATCCTCTGAATACTTCCACAGCTCCCTGGTACCCCCAATGCACAGTGATTTGGGGACAAGGACCTGGGCTTTCTCTCCACCTGCCACCAGAGCTGTCCCCCCCATCCCCCTTTCCCCAGACCTGGGAGGTCAAGGTCTGGGTATTTCTGATTAACACCCCCCACACCTTCTCTCTCCTGCTCCAGGAGCCACTTTAGCATCTCCTGATGGAAAGCAGGGGGGTTACAATTACAATGAGGCATCAGAAACAAAGTGGTTTTATGGTTTATAGGAATTGCAGATGTGTGGACGTGTTTCCACCAATAAATTCTGGGCTATAAATTGAGGCATGTGATGCTGTGGTTTCTAAAGATGACAATGTTTCCATTTTTGCTTTTTCTGGTAAAGCACCTCCACATCACATTGCTTTCAGGGAGTTAAGAACAGGTGAGATGATCTGTAGATGTAGAGGAGAAGTCATGATGCTCCCTCTGAGCCACCAAACCCCTCTTCTGATTCCTTTGGTTTCATTGTTTGTCCAATGTAATATGAAAGCATTTAATAAGTCACCTGGAATAAGGGCCCCCTGAGCAAGGCCTGTTATATAATTGCGTAATTTTGGGAGCAAATCACCCTAATTTAAAGACACCATCCAGGTAGACACCACATAATAAGCCCACTTCTCCACTTCCATTTTACTGCTCTAATCCTTGTTTTTTGCTTATGTAAAACTTCTGTGGGTGGCAGTAGGATTCCTTGCATTTGGAGAAGTCCTTAATTTGATGGTCTGGACAAGTACACAGAGAGTCACAATTAAACAGGCAGCAAGGATCAGTGTTAAGATACCTCTGAAGAAAGGTGCTTGGACCCTGGTCTAAAAGCCAGGCATTTTCCAGCTGCCTCTAAAAACTCATTATAAAGGACACAGAACATCAGTCTCCCCTTTGTGTGTGAAATGGATTTTCATTCACATCCCTCAGGTTTTCTGATCTTTTGTGGGAAAAGAAGGGAAGCCTGAAGCTTGAGGAAATAACCAATACTATTCACTTTATATCCAGGACTCAGAGAAGCAGGTTTCCGTCTCTCTGTCCCTGGAGCGTGTGGAAGGGTTTTGCTCTGGGTGTCAATACTTTGATTTCACCCTGGAATTCAGAATTACCACCTCACTTTTCTAAAAAAAGTCTGTTATCCCAGAGCTTCTCATCAAGTCTAATTGTTCTGGCACGTCAGTTTCCTGGTATCTGAGTCATTTTCTTTCCTGAAACTTAATCTTTATAGAAGTAAAGAAAAAAAACTATTCCAGAATAGTTAGAAATCCAGTTAGGATTTTATAGTGAATAATTTTTGAATGGAAAAGGGTTTTACAGTGAAGAACAATTTAAATACATGTAACCGCTTTTGCCTGTCTTCTAATTTAAAATCTTGAAATGCCAACTATAGGAAAAAAAAAGAAATTAAGAGTCAGTAGCTGAAAGTGGTCTTTCTGGTTGTCACTGGAATTCAGTAGAAGGTAAAGATTTGCATGAGTATGGTACTTTAATGTCTTCTTTATTTTTAGTGGCATGGAGAAAACGGGGAGGAGAACAAAAGGAAACTTTCCCACTTGGATACAACAATATCTGCTCTCCCAGGCCCTTGGCAATGGTCTGTTTGCTAATGCCCTTGTGAAAAGCACTTCGAAAGTGATTTGAAACTCTCCTTTGGGACACGAAAAATCAACAGCTAAACAACAGACCCCAGGGGCTCATTTCTGTAGCTGAAACAACACTCTAAATCTCTGTTACTTCAGACTTATGAAACCCTTAGTATTTACTAGTACATAATGCTATTGATTTGGACATGAGGGGATGTAAGAACTAATGGAGGGAGGCAGGGCTGGTACGGGGCTGGCAGCTCAGTTTAACTTTGCAGTGAGCACTTCTGAAATCAGCCTAATTAACAGTGACACCAGCAAGAATCTGGACCCTGCTGAGGCTTTGGCAGAGATAAACTTAAAGCTTTACTTCTCAGCAGAAGTATTCGAGGAGGTGTCTGTGCTTACTGGGGGGATGTCAGGCCTGAAGAAA